CTGCTGCCGTGGCAAGGGATTGAACTGACTCTTTGGGTCAAGTCACTTTTGGATCAATCAATCAAAGCTTTTATCCACTGGGCCATGCATCCTTAGGGACATTAGTGAGTGAATTTTTTTTAGTGTAAAATTCTAAGAAAAACTTGTGTCATACTCAGATATAAGAGGCGCAGGGGAGTAATGGATAGCAGCTTGGATTGAAGAATAAGAGAACCAAGTTTGAATTCCTGTTGAATCCATTACATTCACTTACGTGCTAGCACACTTGGAATAGTTATGAATCCTCTTCTCCCCCCATCTATGGGTAAATAGCAGGACAGACCAGATTCTATACTCTTGGAGGGAAACTGGTCTAGCACAGAAAGAAATGGCAACCTACTGTGGGAAAAAAAATCTGCTTCGTCAGTCATGTATCAAAAGATACATGATCGCCTAAGCGTGTATCACACAGCACATAAGTGACTGATATACAGCATATCCATAATATTGTCCTACCAGTTTTACTGCCATTTTTTTTTAAATAAGATGGCAATATACTATTTCAAAATATGTCCTGTAAGATGACTGATAACCTTCTTGACTGGCACAATCACCAGACCTGTCATTACTCCAAAATAAATGGGATGATTAGAGGCTAATACAGATAATTTTAACTTTTACTCATTAAATAAATTTATGATTTTAGCACCAAAATGTCCTAGAGCTACAAAAAGTCTTTTTTTCCTCGCCAAAACACCTTGTGCAAAATTATCCATTTTTGGGGTCTTGCATACTTTCTAGAAACTTTTGCAAGGTTTGAGAATTGATTGATGAAAACATTGAAGTAACGAAAGCAATGACAATAACAATATAGTCCAAATAAAATTGTTGGAATTTTAATGACTCAACTCAAAATTACAGAATGTATTCTTGTGCATTGTAGAAAGGGGTAGGCAGATAACAAAAATGGAATCAGCAAGCTGAGTTTTAATTTCTGATTAATCTGTTGCATTCATTTTTTATAAAAATGCCCCTGGAAAAGACATGAATCTATCTTTTATCACCCCAGCCATATGTTAAACAGCAGGGTAGACTAAGCTCTATAGCTATACATGGTAGTGAGTCTAGAAAGAAAACTGAATTCTGAACCAAATAGAAGTCACTGTGAAGGCACCTGACTGTCTTTACTAAGAAATCATAGCAGTTGAGAGGAATCTGTCAAGTGCCATGAACACCTGATGGAAAATGGCATTTAAGGAAGAAGACAAAGAATCAGAAGAAACATTATTGCAAGAAAGCAACCAAAAGAAGGAGAGCAATAATCTGGACAACCACTGGAAGAATTTTCAAGATGACAGACAATGACAATCCTTCAAAAAGCTCTGTTCAGAGAAACAACATCAGAAACAATGTTTTTGCTGTCATAAAATTACTTGCTCTAATTTCCAGTGTTGGATATCAGTTGAGGAAAGACCTTTGGCCTTACTTCTGCTGCATCAGTGTGTAAGCAAAAATCAAAACTGGTGATAGCATAAACTGGAAATGCATCCAGTGTCTAAAATAAACAGGATGTACAGGTGTCCTGTGCCTTGAATAAACAGAGCACATAGATATCCTGAGCAGAAGGAAATGTGTGCTTTTGTGGGCACACACTGGAATTGGTGTGACCACACAAAGTTGCATGGGTGACATACCAGAAGACATAGCCATGTGGAGTTGCGTAGTTGTAAAAAAAATTTATATAACCAATCTGATTCTTGATCTGGATAGAAAAGGCTGGCTTGAGGTTCATCCAGGATTTGTCTCCATCAATTCCTGTGTGTGCAATCCTAACCTTTTTGATTCTCTCTCCCTCTACCCATTCATCACAACTCGAACAATAAAGATATTTATATATTTTTTTATATAAATGTCCGTCGTTTTATTTGAGCGAAGCAGCAAAATACTACACCAAGTGCTATATAAAATATAGCCCCTGGAAATTAGAACAAGATCAACAGCCAAAAAAATGGTAAAAGAAAGGAAGGCAAGTCTGCCCAGATCTTTTTTCCATTCTCTTATAGCAGGGGGTCTCAAATAGGAGGGGATCCCTCCTCTGGTGGGAAGGGGGATTCAGGAGGGGAGGGTGAAAACTTTTACTTATGTTTTTTTTTATTTACAGATTGAATTTGGAGCCCATCATGAATCCAAACTTAAAAATCCTCCATAAAAATAATCTTCATAAATGTTAGAAGGTTGATTGTTTTTTGTTTATCAGCATCTCAACATCTATGAGTTATTTAATGGCAAAATCTTTATATATTGTATGCAATATTTTTTGGTGGCGGGGGGGGGTAATAATGGCTTTAGTGATACAACTCATACTAATTAATCCATAGCTGGGAGGAGAAAAGATGTATTCATGTCTTTCCCAAGGGCATTTGAACATAAGTGAAAATAATGAACCCAACTGGAATTGGAACTCAGTTCTCCAATTAACATTTCCAAGCCATTATCTATTACAACCACCCACACATCCATGCTTACAGCACCTGGTATTCCCACATGGTCACCTATCTAGGTACTGACCAGGATTGACATTGCTTAACTTTAGTGATCATACAGGAATCAGTGATTCAATGTGTTGTTCCACACTCCTCAAAGCATCCTGATCAGAGGCGTTGCTGTTGGATGTAGTTTATCATCTTACCCAAGAGATTCTTCTTTGTATTTTATCACTAACTAGCAGTAGAGCCTGGCGTTGCCTGGAGATATAACAGTAAGAGATAGATCAAGTATCAACCATCATAAAGACTGAAAAATAAAATTGACAAAGATTATTGTTTAAGGTTGATGGACACACATGTCTTAATTAGTTTCCTTTTTTGATTTTTTGGTTTTTTTTTACGAATTTGTCAAACCCAAACTCAAACAAAAACATTGTTTTCAATTGTTATAAGTCTATCGATTGAATAGAATTTTATTATAAACAATTGTCTTGTAAATGGAATTTTTAAAGCATTCTGAATGTAAAAATAAAAGAAAAAGTGTGCAAGACAATAAGAAACACTACCTGCCAAAAAAAAAGTGAAGTTTTTGTTGAAATGGTTGAAAATGTAAGAAATCCGATCCCATATATAAACAAACACACAAACAACCTGGGTTTTATAAGTATAACTCGATATGAGTTGTTCCCCTTTCATTCTGGCAACAGAATCCTGTTTTCAAATTGATTTTGTGCAAAAACAATTGTGTTTTTCCAATTTTTGGCACTGTCAGAACCACCACAAGATAATTTTACACAGTCCTGTGAAGTTTTGTTGAAATCAGTTGAAAAATGTAGGAAATCTGATCCAATATATAAACATACAGACACACACACACACAATCTGCATTTTATAATAAGTAAGATGACTGGAATTTGAACTTGGTTTGCTGATTTCTAGTTCCACGCAACTATTACATCTGAAACACGTACATAATAGTCGTTTTTTTGTAAACACTGATGATAAAAAGCAGTATACAAAAAGCTTCTTTTTTCCCCCCAGCAACAGAAGAAAAAAAAAGAAAAAAAACAAGGCATAAAAAACAGCCATGATACAATAAATTACCAAACAACTTGTTCAACCAGTTTCTGCTAAAATCATTAAACTGAGGTAAAAATATTTATGCTGATATGACAACTGAGATTGTAGGAAAAAAAAAAATTACAAAAGACAAAAATTGTTATTTTGGCTTGGCAGGATTTTTAATATTTTTTCCCACAATGTTGAGTGCATACACACACTGTTTCCACCCCACACTAAAATTCGAATATTCAACTCAGAAATAAACACAGAACAATTTTATAGCAATGAAAAATAATCCTGGGATTTAATCAGGATAACAGCATCATAACACTATTAAATAAAGTTAAACATGCATTTTTAGACAAAACTGGAGCTTTGTGCCCATGAAAAAAAAACAGGAGTGTCAAAAGGACAGTTTTTCCCTTAACACTGCTATTATTTTAACTACCTTCACTCCTCGGCAATGTTTATTGTTTTAAAAAGTGCTGATTAGAATTGGAATGAAACTGAAACGTATGATTAAAATAAATTTATACATTTTTTTTTTTTGTTCCTGAGAATTGACAACAAAAATATTAAACACTATTTATAAGACAGTTTATTTATACTATTTAGTATAAAGTTTAATGGAAAGGTTAGCAAAACTAATTGATTGGAACTTTATAAAATGGTAAATAATAAGGATTTACTTATAGTTGGTTCACATATTTTAATAATTTAGTAAATCTTTATAAATTTATGAATGAAAAATTGTATTTATTTCTTTATAAATTGTTAAAATAAATATTGCATTGTTTTAGTTTTTAAAAGGCTCTAATATAAAAATATTCTTGTCAATTAGCTTAAAAGTGGCTCTATCAGGTGGCATTTAAGCTAGCTCCTGCAGAGGGATCTTGATTAAGCCTTCATCACATTCGGTAAGGAGGAGTAGATGCAATAGGCAACAATCAAAGAAGATCTCAAAATTGATCGCTGTATTTAAGTATTGCATTAATATTTAAGCTTACCTTTTAAATATTCAATGATAATTATTCTGCCACCACTTAATTGAAAGACAATTTGATGTATGTAGGTCCTTACTTTCTGTACAAACGTTTTTATTTCATAGGTGACTTTAGCTGGATTTCATAATTTCAATTATTCCCAAATTTATTTCCAAGATTGGACAAAAAATTCATAAACAAAAAAATCATGTAAAAAAAAAAAAAAAAAAAAAAATGCCAAAAACAATTGCAGTAATGGGAATCCAAAATTTCAGGATTGCAGATCCAGATTTGGCCCGGAATGTTTTTAATTTGCTCACGGAGTCAGCCTGATTCCAAAATGGTATATGTTGGGCTACAACCTCTAAGAGTAAAGTTGAAAAAGTGTTACATAGGGACACACTGACATTTATTATAAAGATAATCAATCTAATAGTGTTTGATTTTCTTCTTTCTCTTCTTCTCTCTTTCTTTCTCTTCTTCTCTCTTTCTTTCTCTTCTTCTCTCTTTCTTTCTCTTTCTTTCTCTTCTTTCTCTTTCTTTCTCTTCTTTCTTTCTCTTCTCTTTCTTTCTCTTCTTCTCTCTTTCTTTCTCTTCTTTCTTTCTCTTTCTTTCTCTTCTCTTCCTTTCTCTTCTTCTCTCTTTCTTTCTCTTCTTTCTTTCTCTTTCTTTCTCTTCTCTTCCTTTCTCTTCTCTTTCTTTCTCTCTTCTCTCTTTCTTTCTTTCTCTTCTTCTCTCTTTCTTTCTCTCTTCTTCTCTCTTTCTTTCTCTCTTCTCTTTCTTTCTCTTCTTCTCTTTCTTTTTCTCTTTCTTTCTCTTTCTCTTCTTTCTTTCTCTCTTCTTCTTTCTTTCTCTTCTCTTTCTCTTCTTCTCTCTTTCTTTCTCTTCTTCTCTCTTTCTTTCTCTCTTCTTCTCTCTTTCTTTCTCTCTCTTCTTCTCTCTTTCTTTCTCTTCTTTCTCTTCTTCATTCTCTTCTTTCTCTTTTTTCTCTTTTTAAATGAGAGAAACTTCAAAGTAATAAGATTCTCATAAAATATGAGGGATTGAATCATGTACTATCCCAAATGAATGTAGAATTCAGCTCTTATATTTCTTTTCAGAACCCTGCTATTTAACCCATAACTGAGGGGAGAAGAGATGGATTCATACCTTTCCCAAGGATATTAGTGTATAAGTAAATGTACCAAAAACTACTCCAATTTCTCATTTGAAGACAATTTCCATAACACCATCGGCACTTTTTTTTTTTTTGTTTGGCATATCTTATCTCGTAGTTGTCTAAACATTTTCTGATCATTCCCTATTCACCTCTATCCTACTACACCTGAAGCATCTTTGCCATCTCAGTCATTTTCAGTATTGTATGTCATGTTTTCAGCATGCAGGCTAGGTATTATTTTATCCATTTGGTTGTGTGTGCAAATTACTGTAGACCCAAGTTGTCTGGTCACAAATCAGACCATTTGTGTGCGTTTCTGTCATTCAGAGTCACCTGCTCGCACAACAGTTCATTCGTCCATTTGTCCAGTCGCTCTCTATGTACTACTACAACATATTATCAAATCAGAAAACCTCAGAAGAAGTAACAAGAAGATTGTCATGAAAAATACTTGCCATGATAAAAAGATTTAATCACAAAATCTTATAAATCCTAAAATATTTCTACTAATACTATTTGGTAGTAACTAAAAAGTAGTTTGGGATATATTGTAAACAAGACTGTGGCAGTAGACTTAAAAATATAAAATGTTTGACCCACAATGGCTTCATGGAAAAAACATTTCATGCTGGTGACACTACATTGCATAGCAAGTTGCTGTGGTATAATATGTGCCCACAAGTCTTGCTCAAAGCTAATTCTTTTTTCTAAATTCCTACATTTTAACTTGAAAACCAAAACAGAAAGCAACTAAAAGTATTGTGCTCAGGGAAATGAAAAGGTGAGAATGCCTTTTTAAAAAAAAAAAAAAAAAAAAAAAAATGGATGTAAAAAAAAAAAAAAATAAAAAAATAAAAAAATTAATGTCAGAACCCAAGAGAATTGAAAGCAAAATTCTGTCAGTATTGTGAAGACTGACATGGAAAGGACTGCCAATGTTTTCACTATATTACTCAGCTAACAGTTTAATTAATGTCTGGAGAGACACTGAGTGCCATACAGTGAGATATTAGGTTGGTGCAAAAATAATGACGTAATAATGTCGTTTTTGGCGTTAAAAATACGTCAAAAAAAAACGACATTATCCCGTCATTATTTTTCACCAACCTAATAGTTTGAGGAAGACATGGATGACGTTATGCTCATTGACTGTGTGAAGTTTTTATTATGAAGAAGGAAGCTGGCTACTTGGTCTGCAATGAAGCATTGAAAACTCTTGATCTCAGTGGAAAATGAGAAAAGCAAGATTCAAAAGTCTGACTCAAGACAATAACCAGTAGCCATAGAAATCAAGCTACATTCTAAAATTGTCTTTATCAAGCAAGCGACAAATTCTGGCCATATTTTCTGGCCTCTAGAATTTATATTTCAATGACATTTTTGGACAATGTTGAACCCCAATTCATCCATGAGCCAAAGTTGTCCAGAAGACATTTGACATTTATGTTCAAGTTTTCCCTGGAAACCAGAAATCTGAATTAAAAGGGAAGCAAAAATAGCACATACACAGAATCAAAAAATGATAGCTGAAATTTCTTGGATGGACAATGAGGAAAGAAGTCTTTGAAAATTTGACACTCACAGGGCATAATCAAAGGAAAATAATTTCATGACTTTTTTATTAATATTTAGGAATAAAACAAACCAACAGCAGACTTAGTGGTTAACCTTCTTTTTGTAATAGCAGAACATTGAAGAGTATGATATTTGGAGATGTTATGTTGTCAGCTACATAGATAAAAATATAAGCTAAATTCCAATGTCTTTTTGTAAGCAGAACATTGGAGATTGCTATGCAATGTGATATTTGTGTTCAAATTTTCACTAGAAACCAAAAGTCTAAAAGAAAATGGAAACTAAAAGAACATATACTCAGAATCAAAAAAAGAAGTTTCCAGGATATATGAGGAAAGAAGTCTTTGAAAATTTGACACTCACAGGGCATATCAAATGCAAAAGAGACAGTGGGAGTTAGCAGGTCATCTACATGAAGAGCTGATTTGAATGTATGGCAGAACAGGAAGTGGGTGGGTGGGAAGATGGCATGATAAAAAGACAAAACATTACTGAGAGCAACAAAGAATAGTAAGTAGTAGAGGGCCATGATCACCCATATTTTGAATGTACATGACACATAGAAAAACCAGGAAAAAGATCCAAAATAAAAGCTGGAAAAAAAAAAAAAAAGGTCTTAAAAAGTAATGGTTGGTCTTCAACTTAACCAGTGTGTCCATTTTGTTTTTCATTTTAAATATTCTTGGAAATTCACCGATTTAATAATTCCAGAATTTATTTTTGCAATTTAGGAATCAAACAAACCAACACATGATATTCTGCCTCTAATATTTGAGTAATTTGACCATAAAAAGTATCACTTGCCCGACTACATATTTCTTACAGTCTCTTTCAGAAGAGTCTCATTGTTTGTGTACAGGCTCACAAAAAGTTGTCTGTACACTTGGCACTAATGCCCTTGGAAAAGGCATAACACCATTTCTTCTCCCTCCATCTATGGACTAAATAATGGTAGACTGGAATTTCTTGTTTTGCGTGGTAGCCAGTCCCAGAGAAATGTGTGCATCACATAACCCATTAGGGTTGTAGGGGCACCATATGTACTGCAGCTATAGCAGAAGCGGTGCGTCTAGGGCAAGATAACCTGATGGCACCCATCCCTGTTCAGGTTGGTTTTGAATTCAGAGTTTTCCTTCTAGAGTGGTTGCCACTTCAAGGCAATAGAGCACAGTCTACCTTGCTACTTAACCTATAGCTGGAGAAAGATTTCTTTTCATGCCTTTTCCAAGGACATTAGTGAATAAAAACATATCGAATGAGAACTAAACTCAGCATGGCTAATTCCCTATCTGCCCCGATATCCATTAATTAATTACTCTATTAATGCCTTTTATATCAGAGACGGCTCTAAATTCAAAACTTTGTCAAAGTCGACAGAAACCCACTATCTTTCATCAGTCATGGCAATTCACAAATAAAGGTAAGGAAACTGTGGAGAACTATGATAACCATTTTCTGAAGGGGCACAGCATATTCAGCAATTTTGATTGTTTTCTATGGCTTATCAACCCTTTGCAGGTTATTTAAAGCCAGAAAATATTTTTAGATTGTAAGAATTTTTAGAAGATAAGGATTTACTGATACAAGTTCTACTAATTAACCCATAGCTGTGGGGAGAAGAGATGGATTCATATGTTTCTCAAGGGTTATTTATCACACCATCCATACATCCAATCTTACAGCACCTGATATTCCCAAGCGGTCACGCATCTAGGTACTGACCAGGCTCGTCATTGCTTAACTTCAATGATTATATGGGAACTGGTATTTCGATGTGATATGGCTGTACACCCAGCAATTAGGAATGATAAATTGCATTGTTGTTCTGTTTTTTTTATATTCTCTTTAATTAAATCTATCTTGCTTTTCAAGTACATTATATAAAGTTGTAGCCTCTGTCTGTGTGTCTGTTATCGAACTCCTAGGGATTTTGAGATAGACCCCCATGACCATATATATTCTGAAACTACATTACTCAGGGTACTTGGATAAGTATATTTCATTTTGATCAAAGGGGAGCTCTGGGAGGCACAAATTTCCCGTTGAAATTTTTTCCCCTTTGATTCAAATTAAATTTAAATTTGAATAAAGCAATGAATGCTATCCAAAATATAGAAGGAGAAAGCCAGAAGATGGAGGTCATATCAGCAAGATCAAAATGAGACAATATAGACATGAAGTTGAGCAAGAAATCACCAATCAGTGGGTAGTGCCTTACAATACATATTTCTTGCAACAATTCAACTGTCATATCAATGTTGAAATCTGCTCATCAATTCATTCAATCAAATATTGCATCAAATACCTATCAAAGGGGTCATATCAAGCTGTTTTTGGACCCCCCACTGAAAATTTTTTTCCCTTTGATTTAAATTTGAACAAGGGAATGACTCCTATCCAAAATAAAGAAGGAGAAAGCCAGAAGATGGAGGTCAAATTGGTAAGATCATTGAGTAATATTGAAATGCATCATTTTTCTCCAAAAATTATAACAATGATTTAAAATCAATCATTGTTTTCTTATAAAAAAAAAATGTGTGACAGAAACATCAAGGCATGGATAATTCACTTATATATATATATATATATATATATATATTGGATTCACCCTAAGCAATGAGGTAATGCCACTAAGGTGCAAGAGGTTACTAGGAGTCAAAGAGAATGAAAACATTTTAGAAGGAACCGGAAACCCAATCCTAAACAGAAGCAAGGGATAAACCTGTTGTAGAGTAGTTTCACAGTGGAGGCTTGTATTTGTACTAAGTTGGTCCTAAAATAGGTTCGACGTACAAAACGTTAGGAACTTGATATAATAGGTAATGACACAGAGAAATCTAGTGGTGGTCGCTGATACTTTTAGTATCCGACTAATGGTTGTCCAACATTGACTGACTGATCAACGATATTTAGTCACCCCACCTACAAGGGCATCATGTGGCACAAGGCCGGTTTAATGTGGGATCTCCAAGCCCGTGGGCTCGGCCAAAAATATGCCCATTGAATCCGTATAAACGGGTTCAGGGTCAGTTTACCTCTCCAAAAGAGGATCCGCCCTTCGGCATAGCCTCCTTTGAGTTCCTCCCGCCCGAAGGCAGAGAGTTCAACTGATCAGCCAGTCGACTGACTGACCAACTCACTGAGCGTCTTCTACTATTCCTACTTATTATAGGTGGGAGAGTTATTAACTATAGAATAGGTGTGTTCCACTATAACAAACCTCTACTCCTGTTCAAAAGACTGGGGAAGATAATGAAACCTATCTACTCCTACTGAACAATGAAAATAAAAAATAGTAAATAAAATTTCAGAGTTTTGGTGGAGAAGTATACAGTTTAAGTAGATTTTAAAAAGGAACCAGAAACCCAATGCTGAACAAGAAACAAGGGATGAACTTCTACTGCTGTTCAAAAACCTGGAGAGGAATGTTCTTACATGGTCTTAGTTTTCTTACTAACCTTGACTAACAAATTTTTTATGTATTGGATTTAACCACCCACACCAGAGTGTCATCCTCACCCACACAATGATTATGACCATGTGTAAGACCAAGAGAACATCTAAGAACACGTCTGCTGTAGATGATGAGAATTCACATGTTTAAAAATTCTTTCTCTTGGAATGATAACAAAAAACAAACTTATTTAGACTTGTAAGACCAATGCAAAAACATACTGGCCAACGGATCTTTACATACATCTAATATCTGTTGTTTTTACCAATTTGTTTTTTTTTTTACAGCTTTTACAAGTTATTTAAAGCTTGAACATATCTTTGGATTATAAGAATATTGTGGGGAGAGATAAAAGATTTTCTACTATTTAACCCATAGTTGGGGGAAGGAAGAGTGGTGACATTTGCACAAAAATAAATATAATGAATCCAGCTGATACTGGAACTATACTTTCCAATTCCGATCATGTACATACATGCTTACAGCACCTGATATTCTGGAACTGTCACCCACCTAAGCACTCACCAGACTTGATGTGGCTTAACTTTGGAGACTGAATGAGAAACATTTTTTCAATGTGATCTGGCTGTAAGCCTTCTAGTGTTTGATTATGGATAATGATATCGAGGATTAAAATTATATAGCTCACCAAGAAGATTGATTTGCTTGTGAACTGATTTGACTCACCTGGAAAATAAAAATAAAAAAAAAAGATTAATTGTTAAAGAGAGATTATTAAAAAAAAAAAAAAAAAGATTTTCCAAATTAAATTTTTTTACCTAAATTTGATACATTTCAATCTCTTATTGTTAGATTTAATCAAATCAATCACCTGAAGAAGGATGGAGTGTACAACAGCTGAAACATAAATATGGCAATGAAGATGAGGATAACAGTCCAGATAATGTAAATAATGCAAGTAATCATAATACCTCATTTCTGGCACTTAAAAGCAACCAATAAAACACCTACTGTGAAATGGAAATTAATAAGAAAAGATAGAATATGTAGGTCATTAAATGACCCATGTCCTTTGTGCATACATGAAAAACTATATATTACTAGGTTTATAAAAAATAAAAATTTACTGAATCAAAGAAATGAAATAGCTATTCTTTGCCAACACTATCAAAAATTCTCAAATGATATTTAAATATAATAATAAAAAAAAAAAAAAAAAAAAGACAGAAAAATGGGAGCTGGTAATATACATTCTTATATTTGATATGTAATAATAATTTAAATAATTCTAATACATTTGTTTTAAAAGAAGTATAGTCTATTAGTAATTAGAATTAAGAATAATATTTTAAAATTGTAGTTCAATACAACATATTCACATACAAACAACCTTTCAAGGAAAAAAATGTTTATGTATACAAGTACAAATTTAATGGCGAAACAAAAATGCCAAAAAACTTTTTGTCATTGATAAAGACCAGATGACATGCATTGAACGGATGTCATCATTCGTTGGAAAAGGCACCCCTACCTTGACTTAACCTCTTTTTGAAAGTAACTCCTATTTTGATACAACAGTTGTCAGTGAAAATAAATACCCTACTGCCCCTTGGTAAAACGGTTGGATTTCCCTGTATCCTTAGAAACTAATATTATGAATGTATGTGCTTATAAAACTCAGTAAATTTCAAATAAAGTTATTCCAAAATTTGCTAGAAAATGAAATAGAACTACAGACTTTAAATCTGTAATTGAATTTGAAGTTTTTAGTTTGTGTTTTTGAAACATGGTAATTCCTGTGTATCGATGGAACCATATTTTTGAATTAGTAAATTTATAATATTTATGCTCTGTTGATTTGCAGTGAGCACTGTTTTGTAAAAATAAAAATAATAAGAACACCGGATTATATATCTTACTGTTCTTTCTATTTATTTTATAAATAGATTATATATATATATATATATATATATATATATATATAAAAGCATAACTACAGACTCAAAAATGATATAGTCTTTTTTATGAAATTGTACATTTCAGCTTCCTTTTGGTTTGGTCAAATTCATTAAAACTATCAAATGTCAAATGCTGAATCCTTTTTCCTCTCTACAACTTTTGTTTTTCAATTTTACTGAAAATGTACGTTTCACTAACTTTAATTGCACCAACAAAGAACACATTTATTGAAGATGCAAGCAGAAAAAAAACTTAACATGGCAATCAAGTATTTGGTTTTAAATTAGACTTTTTCTCAACAAAACTCACCGAGTCAACACATTGTATCAAAATGCACAGCCTTTAGAAATAAGTAACCATATACTCAATATAAGTAAAGCAAGAATGATAGATTGGCTTGCAAAACTCTGATGTTGAATAAAAATGTTTGCCAGAGATTGAAGTCTGCTGCTATTGTTCCCAAATATTGATTTTTCCCCATTAAAATCAATACTTCCAAATTATTGATCATTCTAAATCAACCTGTTATCAAGTATTGATATGTTGAAGTAGATATTTTTGGATTATGCTAAAAAATGAAAAATAAGTAAGATAAATAACAGAAAGATAAATAAATTTGAAATTTTAGGAAAACATGAGAAAAGAAGGCTCAGAAAATCTAACACCCACAGGGGATATTGAAGGCAAAAGAAGCAGAGGGGGAAAGATCAAAAGATGAATTACATAAACTGATTTATTCATTTGTTTTTTTATGGCTTGTCCACCATTTTCAGGTTATTTAAAGCCAGAAAATATTTTTAGTCTGTAAGAATATTTTTGAGATAATAATTATTTAATGATACAAGTCTTACTAATTAACTCATAGCTGGGAGGAGAAGAGCCGGAATCATACCTTTCTCAAGGGCATTTGAACAAAAAATAACGAAATATGAATAAATAATGAACCCAACTGGAATTGAAACTTGGCTCTCCAATTTCCAATTCCAAGCAGTTATCTATTACAGCACCTGTGCATAAAAACTTACAACACCTGGTATTCCCAAGCAGTCCAACATCAAAATACTCTCTATATTGCTTAACTTGGGTAATCATACAAGGATCAGTGTTTCAACGTGATATGACCATAGGACTGGATTGCAGAGAAAAAACAAAGAGAGATGGTAAAGGTCAAAATTTACCTAAGAGCAAAAAATACATTGTGTAGAACCATACTTGACCACTTCCAGAAAAAAAAAAAAAAAAAAACACATCACATAAAAGATATATAAACATTGTATGGACAACTTATTCCTATGTCCATACATTCAGAATAACATTACATTTGTTTTAACAAATTATCTCTTAATATCCACAAACTGCATAATGATGTGCAGTTACATTAGGTACGCAAAATGATTTCATAAATTTTACAAATTAATTTTCTCTACAAAAATAAAAGGTGATTAATGTTTTTTTTAAATTATAAAAAATGAAAAGATACAAGTGAAATAAGATGCAAGAAATACTCTTTCAAAATGAATAATAATTGACAATGTCCCATCTAAGAAATTCAGACAAAAGACTATTACTACTTGGTGGAAAAGCAAGAGAAATAAGATGAAAGAAATACTAGTCAAAATGAATAATAATTGACAATGTCCCATCTAAGAAATTAGACAACTTAAGACTATTACTACTTGGTGGAAAAGCAAGAGAAATAAGATGAAAGAAATACTAGTCAAAAATGAATAATAATTGACAATGTCCCATCTAAGAAATTCAGACAACTTAAGACTATTACTACTTGGTGGAAAAGCAAGAGAAATAAGATGAAAGAAATACTAGTCAAAAATGAATAATAATTGACAATGTCCCATCTAAGAAATTCAGACAACTTAAGGCTATTACTACTTGGTGGAAAAGCAAGAGAAATAAGAATAAGATGAAAGAAATACTAGTCAAAAATTAATGATGATGATGGTAGAATAGATTATTTAAATTCTTTTTTGTTAAGGAGATCAAAAGGCAAAAGTGTATGAAATTATTAGAAAAACAATAAGAATTGAACTGATGCCAAATAAAGATTATTCTAGAAAGGATAATTGAAATCAGAGTAAATAAAAGTCATGAGAAAAGTCGCTTTCAGTTTCTCCCAAAGTAAGTCTTTCAAAAATAAATGAAATTTAAATAGAATTTTTCCTAAGACTCTGTGCCTAAATTTTCAAGATCATTTCTTGTAATTTAACAACTTTTTTTTTCCTTTAACTTTGAAGTAGGTACCTTCACTAATTTGCTGAAAAAAAAAAGAAAAAAAAAAGCATGCCATGATGAAAAACTGCCCCAAACTTGATAAAAAAAAACAAAACAAAAAAAAAACAAATTTTTATTGTCAAAATGTTTATGTTATTATTAAGAGGAGAAAAAAAAAATCAAAGTATTTTTTATTTATTTAATTAAATTTTTAATCCTTTCTAGCATGTACTAAAAAAAATCTTATTCTTATGTCAGCTGGGAGACCAAATATTAGTACAGTGTAACCCGGATATAACAGAGATTTTCTCTGGTCCCAAATTAGAGCCTGTGTTAATGTAGATAAAATAGACCAAACCCAGATATAAGAGACTTCTCTGGTCCCGACAACTCTCTTATATCCGGGTTACACTGTATACAAAATTTTAGCGTCTTTTTTGCAGTAGCAAAAATCAAATAATTGTTGGATTTTAATGAAACTTTCAGAACTTATTCACAAATGAATGAAATTAATTTAGAATTTTTTTTTTTGTTTTTACAAAATCTTGGTAAAAATATGTTTTTATTTTTTAATTTTTATTTTTTTTACAGCTATTACTCTCCCCCACCACTTATTTAATTTTATGAAATTTCAAGAAATTAAAATTTCCCCCACTTAATATTTATATTAGTTAAAAAAAAAAAAGCAAGACTCCCTGGTGAATTTAAATTGTTAATTTTTTTTTTTTTTTTTTCTAAAACAGAAACACCATTTACTGAAAATCTGCTCTGAATAGTAAAATAAAAAAATGAAATGAAACTAAGACATTATTTAATTAGAAAAGCTTTTAATTGATTTTATAAATAAGATATATTTAGGATATTAAGGACACTATTGTCTTAAGAAAAAAATTTTTTCAATGTATAATGAATTTTTATAAGAATTGTTTTCATTTTTAAAAAATGTAATTAGCATAATTAATTAAGTTTTAAATCTTTTAAAATTCTGTATTAATTTCAGCCTTTTAGATGATATTATTAAGTAAAAACTATATTTACTAATCATAAATTGAAAAGCTTAGTATAATGCATCAAACATCAATATTTTTAAAAGAATTTTTAATTGTTTTTGCATTTGTAAAGTAAACGTGCCGATTTTTGTTGATATGATTATCTATACACAATATTATCAGAAAATATTAGTGATAATTATAGTAAATTCAAAGCCAAAATATCTAAAATTCAATAAAACATTATATTACGGAGAATATTTTTCTAAATTCTGAAGATTACCAAGTACTTAAAAATTATAAAAAAGTCACTCATGTTATATTCTTCAATTAATTTTTACAGATAAAGCCCACATAGAAAAACAGATAAATAAAATATCCATCTGTCTGTCATCAAGCTGTGAACATTTTATTTTAAATAAATAGCTACTTGTTAAAAAAAAAAAAAAATGTATTTATTTCTGCGATATTTCAAAGTAAATGTTTGAAATCAGATTAATTATACTTTAAGTCAGCTAATATTCCTCAAATAAAGTTTCAAAAAAGTATATTTTATTTTTGCAAGATTTTTTAAATAAAGAGAATTACATTGCAATGAAAGATGGCTAAAAAATGGTGTTAATCAGCTATTTTAGCAAAAAAATAAAAATAATAAAAATCCTTCCCGTCAATTTAGTTTTAAATTATTTTTGAAATATAGCAAAGTATTTTGATAATTGGAAAATCATTTTAATCTATTAGCTTCAAATTAAAACTGAAATAGAAACTTCAAAGTTTTTCTTTCTTTTCTTTTAAATTCATTTTAAAACCTTAGGTATTGCGTTTTCTGTGAAGATACCAACTTGGAAAGAAGCAATGACGACGGGAAGAAAAATAAAGACAGTAACCAGGGGTTTTAAGCTAAAAATGAGCATGAAAGAAAGAAGAAAGAAAAGATAAAAGAACAATGGAAAAATTAACCCAGCTAATAAAAACAGAGCAAAAGTATCACAATGGGAAGAAGGGGTGACAGAGAAAGAATAGGCGTGGAAACAATGGCGAACCAGAAGAAGAATAGAAAGAAAGATGGCAAAGAAAAATGGTGAAGAAAGAATTAAGAAAAGAGGTATAGCTTCAGTTACAGAAATCTAAAGAATAAAAATTGTTAAAAAAAAAAAAAACTATAAGGAACACATGCAGAGAAAAAAATAAATGAAAACGTTCACTAGACTAGAAATTATAGAGAAAACAGCAGTAGAACAGAGCAGGAGAGAGTTCACAAATAGTATAGAGAGAGGCTGTATAGTGACAGAAGGAGAAATAAGAGGGAGAAGAGGTGCGAGCTAAATTGATAGAAAGAGGATAAATAAGAGAGAAGGAAGACGAGAGCTAAATTGATAGAAAGAGGATAAATAAGAGAGAAGGAAGACGAGAGCTAAATTGATAGAAAGAGAAGAAATAAGAAGAGAGAAAAGGCGACCGCTCTAAATTGATAGAAATAAGAAATAAGAGAGAAGGTGAAAGGTAAATTGATAGAAAGAGAAGAAAAGAGAGAGAGAAGGTGAGAACTAAATGAGAAGAAATGAGAAGGTGAGAAATTGATAGAAAGAGAAGAAATGAGAGCGAGAAGGTGAGAGCTAAATTGAACGAAAGAGAAGAAATAGAGAAGCTGAGAGATAAATTGATAGAGATAAAAAGAGAGAGAAGGTGAGAAATAAATTAATAGAAAGAGAAGAAATGAGAGAGAAGTTGAGAGCTAAATTGAACGAAAGAAGAAATAATAGATGAAAACTAAATTGATAGAAAAAAAGAATTGAGAGAGAGAAGGTGAGAGCTAAATTGATAGAAAAAAGAAAAAAATAACAGAGAGAGGGGTGCTGAGATCTAAACTGATATAAAAAGAAAAATGAGAGAGAGAGAGATGGTGAGAGCTAAATTGATAGAAAATGAAGAAAGAGATTTAATATCAAAAGAAAAGAGAATAGAAAATGAAGAAAGGGAGGTTGTTTAAAAAAAAAAAAAAAACACGGAAAAGATGAAAGAATTGTGTTCATCAATTTATCAACCCCATCACATACACACAATCTGTTTCTTTGTAAACAAGGCTATTTTCAAATAATATAAAATACAATATAAAAAAAAAAAAAAAAAAATACCCCACACACAATCTTGCCTGGGCCCAGGATAGGCAGCCTGCATGGCAGGTTTCCTCATTAGGGAATCTATAGAATCAATAAATATTTAGCATTGGCTGAGGAAGAGAGAGGCTATCTTTTATTCACCAAAGCCCAATTCTACACAACCCCCACTACCACCACTAGAACAAACAATTCTTTTAAAAATTTAGGCCTCATATTTCAAATAACCCTTTTTTGAAATTTGCAAAGAGAAACTTTGTTTAATTATTCTACACATTTCACAAATTCATTTTTGATTATATTCTGTGATTACAGATGAGTTTTTTTTTATCTAGCCTCATATTTAAGATGTTCATTAATCAATATAAACTGTACAATTGAGGCAAACTTAGAAAATAAATATATACAGTACTGTGCAAAAAGAATGTCTATATTTCTGAGATGAGGTATTGTAATTATTTACACTATTTACATTGTCATATTCACAATGTTTCGCCCATTGTATTCTCCAGCCTTCTTCAGGTGATATACATTGGAATTTCGAACAATGTAAATAGTGCAAAAAGAAGTCTTCAACCACTTTCAACTATTACAGATTTCTACTAACAGCCAGCTTGTAAGCGAATGTTTTGCTTTCCCATATTCTACATATGAAACATTGGCCCTCATTTTTACATCTAATTATCATATTTTATAGCAGGAGTTCTGAACAAAGAGGGATGAATGGACCTATTCTCTCAGTAATACTTACATGAATTTCTGACCATTGACAATCCCTTACTTTCCGATTTTCAATGTGATACCTAAAGTTTAAAATTAATTTTTAAAAATGAATTCTTTTTTGAAGCTTTTATTTTAGCTTTAATTTCAAGCTAATAGATTAAATTTAATATTTCAAATAAGCAAGATACTTTGCTGTATTTCAAAACTAACTTAAATTGACTGGAATTTTTTTAATGCTAAAAATTGCTGATTTTAGCAAAATGTAATTCTCTTCATTAAAAAATCTTTAAAAAATACAATAGACTTTTCTAAAACATTATTTGAGGAATATTAGCTAATTTAAAGTTTAATTAATCTGATTTGAAACATATATGACTGACTTTCACTTTAAAATATTGCAGAAATGCATTTTTTAACACAGAGGTAGGAGTTTTGATTATGTCTTGACAGCCCTGTTGACAGATTGACACCCAAAAGTTTAATTTTTTTCCATTTTTTTAAAAATTTACTATAGTAACTGGTCTTATTTTCTGATCATGTCATGTACAGACCTCCATATTTACAAAAATCAGTATGTTTACACACACACACAAAAAAAAAAAAAAAAAAAAAAAAAAAAAAAGAGAAATCAAACTTATTTTTAAAATACAGATGGTCACTAAATTGTAGTAACATTTTCCATTTACGATTAGTAAATATACTTTTTACTTAAACTGGTATAAATTAATACAGAATTTTAAATGATTTAAAACTTTATAAATTATTCTATTTTTTTTTTTTTTTGCAAAATGAAAACAATTATTGTAAAAATTCATTATTCATCAAAAAAAAATTTTCTTAAGACAATAATACATATTATTCAAGTAAGCAATTAAAAGCTTTTTTAATAAAAGAATGTCTTAGTTTTATTGTATTTTTTTTTATTTTACAATTCAGAGTAGATTTTCTGTAACTAGAAGTTTTGTTTTGCAAAGAAAAAAAAACAAAAAAAAAATGATTATTTAAATTCTCCAAGAGTTCTGCATAAAAAAATTAATTCTAGAATAATTTCATTCATTTGTGAATAAGTCCTGAGAGTTTCATTAAAATCTGACAATTATTTGATTTTTGCAGGATTTTCTAAATCAATGCGTTTTTCACCACAAAACAAATGCTAAAATTTCCTATACTAATTTATAGTTCCACTGCTGAAGCCAAAAAAAGAAAAAAAATAATTTAACCAAAATTTCAAACATTCCAAAAGGGATTAAAAAAATATAATTTAATAATTAAAAAATCCTTTGGTCTTTTGATGATAAAACTTTGTTTTTATTAAGTTTGGGGCATTTTTTCATCATGTATGATCAATTTTTAAGCAATCTTTGGGAAGTACCTACTCTATTGTATCAGTAATTACGGTGGAGTAATGGATAGTTGCTCGGATTGAGGAAATGGAGAGCAGAGTTCGAATCCCAGTAGAATCCATTACATCCACTTACGTGCTAATACCCTTGGAAAAGGGTATGAATCCTCTTCTCCCTCCAGCTATGGTTAAATAGCAGGACAGACTGGGTTCTATAGCCTTGGATAGCAATTGGTCTACCACAAAAAGAAATGGCAACCTACTGCGGGAAAAAAATCTGCTTTGTCATTCATGTATTTGAAAGATACATGATCGCCTATGTGTGTATCATGCATGGCACACAACTGACTAAATAACTGCATTCATTCCTGACCACTGATAATCCCTTTCTTCCTGATTTTCAAGGTGTTTCCATTATACATTTAATATATCTATTGTATCAGTAATACTTGCATTCATTCCTGACCAATGACAATCTATCTTTGATGACATCAAGACTGATGTCAACTAATTCTTCTGAAAAATCCTCCCAAAATAAAAAAATAAAAAATTTTCCCAAAACAAAATAGCCTTTATAAAAATATAAGGTTTGAAGAAAATGAATGCATTATGATTTACTTTAAAAGAAAAAAAAAAGAAAAAAAAAAGAAAAGAAAAAAAAAAGAAAAAAAAAAGTAGTTATGAATAATCAAGAGTGGTCTCCCCTTGTTTTGTTACTCTCCTCTTTGAGAGAGCTATTTCTGTTTATTGGGACTCTAAAAGGACACTATACACAAACCATGTATTCTCAGTCGAATAAAGCTTTCTTAAAGCCTACACCTGCATACTTTTGTCATTACAAGTACATTTGTTTACACTGGATGCCAGTCCAAAAGGTCAACTGAGTATCAAGGTAGCTTTTTTAAATGATGAAAGCCTGCTTAAGTTTTTTAGCATCTCTTAGGATTGCTCAAATATAGATGACCAAAAACGATAAAACCAAATATTACAACGAAAAAGTATATATATGTTTTTGCTTAGAGAAAGTGTTTGTTATCCATCAACTCTGGTTACTGAATGAGAATTTCTTACCAGCATCTAATGAAAGCCCATTTAAATTTACAATCTTCTTGTGAGATGAAGTATGGATGACCAAAAATGAATAAACCAGATACTATAGAGAATGGCAAAAATATCTCCAACATTAAAGCACTGTCATATGATAGGAAACACTTGTTTAATTAAACCTTTCCAAACAGAACAGCAAAAAAGAAAACAATAAAACAAGACGATCATGATTAAAACTGCTCCTACAATATGGCCAGGTTATAATTTCTCGAAGTGAGTGTGTGTGTGTAGGGGAGGCACTGTGGAGTAATGGATAGCGGCTTCCATTGAGGAATCGGAGAGCAGAGTTTAAATTCCAGTTACATCCATTACATTCACTTACATACAAATACCCTTGGGAAAGGTATGAATCCTCTTCTTCTCCACCCCCCCAGCTATGGGTAAATAGCAGGATAGAATAGGTTCTATAGTCTTGGATAGCCACTGGTCTACCACAGAAAGAAATGGCAACCTACTGCAGGAAAAAATCTGCCTCGTCAGTCATGTATCAAAAGGTACATGATTGCCTAAGCATGTATCACGCATGGCACTTAACCGACATATATATATATATATATGTGTGTGTGTATGTATATTTAGGCAACAATCCCTCTTTTATACAAGTTTCATTAAAGACAACTAACAAGTTAATGCAATTATGCTTTTTATTTTTCTTGTTTTCTGGACACAAAGTATGTAAAAACTGTTCAAATGTTCTGCATTTACAAGTGACAAAAACAATAACAAACATTTTCTACAAAAGCCAAATGCACATCAACTATAATTAAAATTAATCTTCACTTAGAAATACCATAAAGAAATACACTACACCAGTTAACCCGAACAAGAAAATTAAATTATCTATTACAAAAAATTTAAAACATCTCACCTTATCCTCAAAAATAATAACAAACCTGCAAAATCCAAACTACAAAGAACCAACAATATTTACGAGTCCAAATGCTCCTTAAGGAACTGTGTTCCTGATCAAACCAAACAATAAATAATTACATCAGTCACACTACTACATGCCTATCTAGGCGACTTATGCTACATCTATCTGGTTACAGCTCCATTAGAGTTCATTTAAACAAACAGAAACTTAGTAGACTCCATCCGAAACATACTAGTAGAAAATACAAGCATAATAACCTCTTCCACATGTAAAAAAGATTAAAAATAATGGAAGCCTTAATAATAAAAAAGAAATAGCCAACACTCAATAACATTAGCTATGAACACGTCCATAATGTGCTGAGTGTGTTTGCAAAATAAAACATCCCTATAACTCAAGATATATACACACAACCCATATATTCAGTTAAAAAGTAAAAATAATATCGATAATCATCATTGATAATCGCTAAAAGCGCTTGAAAATGTAAAACATTTGGACAATTTTTACACACTTTGTGTCCAAAAAAGAAAACACTTGTAGGAACACAAGAAAAACAAAAAAATAAAAAAATAAATATATATATATATATATATATATATATATATATATATATATATATATATATATATATATATATATAGGGCGTGAAAGGGGTTAATTTCTATAGACAGCTCAAACTGAATTTGAATTTTAGTCAACTTAAAACTGTTTAAATTTATAAATAAGAATTCAGCCTGGAATGGT